CTGCGCTCTTCCAGATCCATCTTGGCCCGCAGGAACCCCTCGTGCTCGCTGATTTCTCCAGGCATGCCAAAGTACACGTCCACACCATCCGTGGGCCTCGGGGTGGGAGTCACTGCAAGGCCAGGAACCAGGGAGTCAGCCAGAAGCCCAGCTCCAGGTCTCCTTCCCTTCCCAGAGAACTGCATTTCCTAGAGCGCACTGGAGACCCTCATGTGTTCACTTCAGCCATAGCTGCTGCCTGGCCTCGTGCGAAATGTGGTTCTGAACTGGGCCTGTTCTTGTAAAGCTTAGGAATCCATTACACTATCCTCTAAGCTTTCCCCCCAATAATCCTTCAGACCTGCCAAATGACTCCTCCACTTCTGGGCACCCCCAAACCACCCTCCCCCTTTGCATCCCTCACAGGCTGCCCCTTCCAGCTCTACTTTATTCAAAGCCATTCCCATCCCTCCCATTTCCCCCAACAGGGCTTCTCCCCCACAGGTCCCTCCCAAAGAGGCCCCTATACCAAGGCTCCCTTAAATCATCCTCCCCCAAGGGTGGAGGGGACTGGGGATTCCGAGCCTGCCTCACCTTTGCTGACCCCTGCAGGGGGATGGGAGCTTGAGGGTGGGACTCTTTCCTCCTCTTCTTCCTCCTCAGCCCGTGGGGGCTCCACAAAGTAATCATCTACTGGCTGTAGGAAGGATTCCTCCTCTTCCTCATCCTCACCCCCCTCAACTCTGCCCCCGGGGGGCCATGACCGAGTGGAAGGATCCCTGAGGGAGCAGAAGACCCAAGGCAATGAGAACCTGGGCCCAGGCCCCCAGGCTTCCATCTCCTGCCTCAGGAGCCTTGGGTTGGGCATGGAGGCTTCCCTCCCACTCACCCAACTGCTGTCCCAGACGGGTTGGGGGTCACTGGAGGGGGGCAGCACACATACTCCACACCTCGGAACCGATCCGCGCCACAGGGCAAAAGCATGCCCGAGCCATGCAGGATGAGGCCCTGGGAGCTGCAGGCCTGTGGGAAGAGTGGGCCCAGATGCCAGGACTGTGGGGTAACAGAAGGTAGGGGGTAGCCTGGATGCCTGGGTCTTGGGGGCTGATGGGGCTGGGAGCCTGGATTCCTGGTTCTGTCCCATTGGGAAGAGAAGGCTGAGGCCCAGACTCTTGGGTTCTGGAGGAGGAGGGTGTTAGAGGACTGGATCCCTGGGTTCTGGGGGGCGGTGAGAATGAGTGGGCTGGGTCCTGACCTCCTGTGCCTCCTGACGCCTCCGGGTTGAACTCTCGCACTGGTCCATGCGCTCCTGGTGCAGGAACCGGCAGCCTTCAGGCACCAGCAGGGCCTCACTCACAAATTCACCCTCTGGCAAATGGGAGTCATCGATGTGAGACACTGCCGCAGCCACTAGCCCTACCCTCCTCAGAATCCAGATGTCTTATCCTCATAGGCTTTTCTGTCCCACTCTGGACCCAGGCATCCATCTCCCTAATGTGAACCTGAAACCAGGGCCAGAATCTCACCCCTCGGAGACGCCCCTCCACCACCCCCACCCCCACCCCGCCTCCTTCCGTTCCCCTCCCCCAGCCTGTGACTCACCCAGGCAGCGGAAAGGCACAACCTGGTGGTGGGGGTGGGCACAGCGGCCACTTCGGGCATCCCCGCACCATTGTTCCATGGGGATGGCCTGTGTCGCCTGTTCCACACGTGCAATCTGCAGCTCCGGGTACATCTGGGGGCACCGGGTGGGGGTGATCAACCCACGGCCCCGCCTGCGCTTCTGCACTGGCCATGTCCCTTTTCAATTCTCTAGTATTCATAAGGACCTCTCCTCCCTAGGCCCCGCTTCTCTGTAGAACAGGTCTTAGATATCTAAGCCCCTCAAGCCCGTTGGCCACGCCCCCTAGTACCTCTCCCTTAAGCCACGCCATCCTTAGGCTCCGCCCCTTTGCCTGTCCAGTTTCTTTACGAAGGTCCCTCCATTGCCCAAAAACTCAATCCCTCTAAGCCCACCTCTCTTGTAGTCGCCTCTGCCCCTTCCCCCTATCAGGTTTATCTCCCCATAGATTCCTCCCTTCGTTAAGCCTCGGCTCTCTCTCTGGCCTCTCAGTAAAGTATCCTTTCTTTGTGTTAGACCTGCTTTCATAGCCACGCCTCCTAGCTTTCCACTCTCCCATTGGGTTCCACCCCGTTCCCAGGCACGCCGGTCCAAAGGTCTTTTTGTCTTAGCCCCGCGTCTCCTTTGGTCACGTCCACCTACACCTGCTCTTTAAGGAGTCCACCACATTATTGCTAAACTCTGTCTCTTCACTGGACACTTTCCTCAGCGGGCCGTCTTTGCACGGTTCTTCCCCTTTCCTGACCTAGTTTCTCAGAAACAGGTCCTGTCCTATCCTAACTTCGCCTCTTTGTTGGCCACGTCCCCTAGTTTCCCATGCCTTCTTGGATCCCTCATCTCCCTGGACCTTGTCTTTGCACGACTAGCTTCTCACGCGCGACCCGGCCCCAAGCTGGATCCCCTTTCTTGCTGGCCACGCCCCTCTCAGTAGGTCCCGCCTACCTGTCTGCAGTACTCCAGCACGCGTTGCGGGTCCCGGAGACAGCGTCGTGAGAGCTGTGGGTCTGGTTCCCAGCGGCCGGTACGCAGGTCCCGGTGAAGGGTTGGGCGCCCGCATAGTCCAGCCACCTGAGCAGACCCTGGGGCCTGGGGGCGGGGACGGAGGGGTCAGCGAGGGCACGGGGGACGCGGGCATGTGACTCCCCTGGTCCTTTGCTCCCTAGAACCCAGATATTCACACCCCCAGCACCAGCCCCCTCCACCAAGCACCGCGCACCGCCTCCATAGACGGTCGGTTCCCCGGGAAACAGCTCCCACAGGGCGGGGGCGCCCCAGCTCTGCCGTTGCTATGGCGACCCGGGTCCCCCGGGATTCTCGCGGCCTTGTTGCCGCGGAGACAGGCTCCGCCCTCACCCCAGCTCAGCCGCACTAGAGCTGAAAGGGTTAAACGTGAATGGCGGGGGAGGAGGTCAGAACCCAGGCGTTCTGGCCCCTCCTCCCTCCATCCCTAGCTCATGCTCGCATTCTCGGGTGCAAAGACCACAAGGCCTGGTTTCAGGGCCCTGCAGGCCTGGACACCAAGTCCTTGAGGGATGGAGAGCTACATCCTGGGTTGGGGGGCGGTGGCTGGAGGCCTAGACTTCTGGGTCCTAGGAGCCTTGCGGGAGGCCTCATATAGGTCCAGAGGATGCAGGGGGCCGAGATTCCTGGCTGTAGGTGCCTTGCTGCCTGGTGGGTCCTGTTCAGGTGGGAAGGGTCTGGGGCTGAGTCACCTAGGTCGAGAGGGTCTGGGGGGGCTGGACTTCTGGGACCAGGGGCTCTGGAAAAGCCATTTCCTACGCTGAGGGCTGGAGGGGACTGGGACGACAGATGATGAAGGAGATGGGGCCTGGACTTACGGTTTTCTGAATGCCTAGTGCAGTTAGCGGCGCCGGGGGGCCCGGCCACCTAGCTGGAAAGACTGCGCTTTCTGCTCTGGACCTGCCCGCATCGGGGTCCAGAGGCCCGGTCCCGCCCCTTCCCCCATCCCCTTGGACCCGGCCGGGCCTCACCTCAGCAGCGCTGGGACTCCCACCGGCCAGGCTCCCGACGGCGAGCTGCGCGCGCAGAAGCAGCAGCAATAGTGGCAGCAACAGCGGCAGCGGGCCCAGACCGCGAGCGGCGGGGATGGCGGGTCCCATGTCCCGGCCCTCGCGCCCTCACGTCCCCAGCACTTCCGCCCGGCCCGGCCCGGCCCCAGCGGTGACAGGAGCTCCCAGCGCCACGGCCGCCGCCGCCTCCTCTTCCCGCCGCCCCCAGGCTGCGCCGGCGCCGCCAGCCCCGCCCCGCGCTGGCCCCGCCTTCCTGGCCAGGACAATAGCGTGGCAGCTCTGCGCACAGCGGAGAAGCTTGGAAACCCCGGGTGGGAACCTGCGCCAGGCCCCCGCCGCCTTGAGATTCTAGGCGTCCCACCCCATGCAAGCGCCTAGCCAGGAGTCTGGGTCACGGGTTTCCTGGTTGGGGATTTTGAGTTCTCCCTCAAGACTCTCACCACCAGTGTTTCCCTCCCTCGGATCCAGATAGTCACAAATCATCTCGCTTCTCCTCTAGGGACGCAAGCATTGGAGAGCGGCCCCCACCCCCAAATCGTCTCTTGAGGTCCCAGGAATACAGGGCTCCAGAGTTTCCCCAATCAAGAACATAGCACTTGGGCTTCCCTGGTGGCGCAGTGGTTGAGAGTCCGCCTGCCGTTGCAGGGGACACGGGTTCGTGCCCCGGTCCGGCAAGATCCCACATGCTGCGAAGCGGCTGGGCCCGTGAGCCGTGGGAGAGGCCACAACAGTGAGAGGCCCGCGTACCGCAAAAAAAAAAAGAACACAGCACTTGAGACCCAGTCCCCTTCTCCCTCAGATCCAGGAGTCTGGGTCCCAGGTACCTTCTCTCTCAGGACTAGAGACCAAGCCCTCAGCCCTTTCTCCCTAAGATGCACGAGTCCAGGCCTTCTGCTCTGCTTCCCAGGAACCCCAGTCATCAAGACCTTTAACTCCTAGATCAAGGATTCATGAACCAAAGCCCCCAGACCCTTTCTTTAAGGATGAGCTGAGTCAGGTAGCCAGCACCTCAAGATAAGAGTTGACCCCCATCCTTGCTGTAAGGATCAGGGCATTTCTATTTTCCCACCCCTAGCCTCTCCTTCGCCCCCTCCCCTTCAGGGCTCACTTCTTTGTCTCCTCAAAATGCAGTGAATTGTCTTCCCCAAGCTGACTGGGGCAGTCCTGTCATATGTGTGCATCTGTGCATGTATGTTTGTGTAGATGTATCTTAAAAGAGCCTAGAGTGCTCAATGGGTAGCAAAGGGCTGGGGGGTGGCTCACGGTTTTTTCTACAGCCACTTCATAGTCTAGGGTAAGAAGAAGGGCCTTGGGGCAGCTTCGATGGACCCCTTCTTTGATAGACAGTAATAATGCCAGGAGAATCTCTAAGATATTCACTTCGCAACTTTTTTTATTAAACATAAATATGCTCATTCTCAGATTCCAACACCACCCCCTCACCCCCCCCAACCCCACAACAGCTCTCACCCTATCCTTACTCCTTGGGTCCAGTTCTTCCAGGGCCTTTAAGGAAGGTAGAAAAAATCAAGATAGTGACCATCTTGGATTCCCAGGGGGTGAATGGCCATTCTGGCTGCAATTCCATGGGTGAAGCAAAGTGCCCCTTGGGGAGAGCCAGGACAGGTCCTCCATCTTAATCTGCCTTATGTTGCCTTTCTTCTCAATGCAGGTGGTCATCTTGAAATATCTTCTTTCAGTGTTGGGAAACAACTTCCTTCTCTGCCCCTAACTCCCATCACCCCCTGCCCCCCCCCATCCCTCTGCAAAGGGTCCATGTGCCATCTTGCATCTCTTTTACACAGGGGAAGAGGTAGGCACAGTGGCCTTCTTGCTCCCACTTGGGGCATCCCCTTTGGCTGAGCTGACTGTATATCAATGACCCAGACAATTGTAACGATCTTTCCCTCCCCTCAATGTTCAATGTTGGAAGAGTAAGGTCGCCAACTTGTTCTGGTTCCTCAGAAATCAGGACAATCCATTATGGCAAGTTGAAGATCCCAGGACTCTTCAGTTGGAGAGATGTCACACATGAGTCTGGAGACGTGGGTGGCTGGGGGTGGGGAAGGCAGCATATGGGAAGGGGGGAGTGCTGGGGGCCAGATCTGGGGGTCCAAAGGATGTGGGTTTGATGTAGCTGGTAAAAGCTCGAGGATGGGGTGTGGTGAGATAACCTGCCTTGGCTCTGTATAACCTGCAGGGGGGGACAATGCCCACATGTGTTTTGAAATCATAGAAGGTAGGGGTCCCTGGAGGTCCAAGAGGGGAGGAGGGTGGTAGGAAGAGACCTCCTCCAGGGGCTTCTCCAAGGCTCAGGCTCACACTGACTCCTCGGACCTTGTAGTAACCATTGGTTGGGTCCTGAGGGGACAAAATGGGACTTGGTAAGGTATGTAAGGGTACAGCGGGGTGAGGGTCACTGATGGAGAGACACACTGAGATAGAGCCAGACCTAGGGGGCGACGAAAAGATAGAAACAGGAGCAGTCAGAGACCCAGAGACATATGGACTGGTAGAAGAACAAAGCGACACAGAAAAACAGTGACAAGAGATGAAGGGACAGAGGAGATGGGCAGAGAAAGACAGAGACAGAAGGATATAGGCCTGCTGAGCGGTGGCGGTGTGGAAGGAGATGCAGAGGGAACAAGAGAGAGAAATGGAGATCAAGACATTCATTCATTCATTTGCCCAACAGCCTTGAGGCTTTGATTCTGAGTCATGCCCTGTGCTGCATGCCTAGACATCTCTCACTAGGATAGACCTAGCCCTGTCCTCATGGAGATCCAGGCCAAAGGAGAAATGAGGAATCACTAGATAGAGCCAGGAAGGTCAGGGTTGTGATGGAGGAAGTTCAGGGAGTGACTGGGACAGCTATGGGGGGATCTTCAGACTGAGATGGGGAAGCCTAGCTCACAGTAGTCATGGCTATGACAGGTGAAACACAGACAGAATGATCAGGGCTACGAGGAGGGAAGCATGAGCTTTCTGGAACCAGAAATGTTTGAGTTGAGACCAGAGGAATGATGGAGAGAATTAGGTAGGTATGTGAAGAAAGGTAGGAGTGTTTCGGGCCAAGAGAATAGCATGTACTAGGTACAGAGAAGAGAGAGAAGGGCTCTGGATTGGGGACTGGGGTCAGTGGGGCCTAATAGAGATGGGACCCTAAAGGATGTACAAGTTTGGGGAAATGTGAGGCCAGTGTGGAACCTGGTAGGTAGAAGGGGCCTGGGTGAAGCAACCAGGGAGAGGCATCTAGGAGGCCTGAAACATGACTGTGTTGGGGAAAGCACAAGCAGACTGAACCTTGATCTGGGGCTCAAGATGGAGGCCAAGGCTGGGGCTGATATGTGGGCATAGTCAGCAGATAAACAAACTGAGACTGGAGTTGGGTGAGACAGCCCAGGAGGCAGCAAGAAGTGGGTGGAGGGGGTTAGGTGCCAGCTCTGGGGGCAACAGAATGAAAAAGGAGGGAACAGGATTGGAGAGAGGGACTTCTCTGGTGGTGCAGTGGTTAAGAATCCACCTGCCAATGCAGCGGACATGGGTTCGAGCCCTGTTCTGGGAAGATCCCACATACCACGGAGCAACTAAGCCCGTGTGCCACAACTACTGATCCTGTGCTCTAGAGCCACAACTACTGAGCCCGCATGCCACAACTACTGAAGCCAGCACGCCTAGAGCCCATGCTCTGCAACAAGAGAAGTCACTGCAATGAGAAGCCCACGTGCCGCGAGGAAGAGTAGCCCCTACTCGCCACAACTAGAGGAAGCCCGCGCGCAACAACGAAGACCCAACACAGCCAAAAATAAAAAAATAAAAAGAAAGAAGTGGAGAGAGAGTTGGAGATACAGTGAAGGGAGCCCCTCTTTTCCCAACACTCACCTTGGTCTCCAGAGCTCCCTCCTCATCCAGAGCCAGGTCGCTGTGGTCTGTGTGCACGATGGGGCCCTGGGGTAGGGTGCTTAGTGAAAGGGAGTGTAGAGGATCCTCTGGCCCCAGTGCCAGACCCCAGAGACCCTCAGCTGAACATCTGAGGCCAGGCAGGAGGGACCAAGGGCACCTGAGAGCTGGGGTCTGGGCTCAGGACAACAAGGAGCCTTAGGGACATATTGAGTCTAGGGAATAGTTGGGTCAGGGGTGTATTTGGATTTGGGGGATATTTGGATCTGGGGATCCCTGTTGGGACTACGGCTCTTTTTGAGTTTGGGGCGCCCAGTTGCGACTGGGATCACAACTGGGACTGGGTTACTATTTGGGTCTTGAGGTACCATCAGGTCTGGGGACCCTGGCATCCTACCTGGTCCTTGCTGCTGCCTGTCTCCTCCTCGGGACCCCTCGAACTGGAGCCGTTGCTGCTCCCTGGGATTCGCACCAGATTCTTTTGCTTGGAGAAAGAGGCTGAGGCCAGGGACATTGGGGGTGGGGGCAGAGGTAAACGATGGGGCTGGATCACGGTCTGTGGAGACCAGTGCGCAGGAAGAGAGAGGACTGGGGCAAATCAGGTCGGGAGACTGGGAGAGAACTCTGGCCTAGGAGAGTAAGGGGTGTGTGACCCTGAGGAGACGGAGTTAGAGCTTGAGCAGGGAATCAGGTCCTGGATGTAAGCCAAGGCCAGTGAGGGTCTAGAGAGGCAGGACTGGGACCAGGTCCCAAGGCCAGGCCAGTCAGTGGGCAGGGCCTGTATATGGGCCTGCGGTGGGGCTCAGGTACTGACCCTTGCCGTGGCACCAGCAGCAGAGGGCCACCCCAGTGCCGGCCATAAGGAGAGTCATGGCCACAGCGGCCACTCCAGCCACAATCCGCACAGCGGGCAGCAAGTCTGTGGGAAGAAGAGGGGGTTCCTGAGGATGCTGAGCAGGAACTGGGGAACAGGGCTTGGGGCTTTTGTAGGGAATCTCTGGGTTCAAAGGTCACCAAGTTTGGGGATTCCAAGTTTTGCAGTCCCCTAGCTTGGAGTCCCTTGGGTTTAAGGACTCATGAACTTGAGGTTTCACAAGTTTAAACTCCCTGGCTTTAGAGAGTCTTAGACTTTGAGGGTATTTTTACTTTGCCTATATTTGGAGGTTGCCTTCTTTGGAGCCCCTAAGTGTGAGGGGTCTCTTAGTTTAGGATTCCGTATTTGAGGGAAATTATTGTTTGGGGATCTCAGGATTCAATGGACTCATAGTTTTGAGGCTCCCAAGGTTTGGGGGTCTCTGCACTTGAGGGTCCTCTGTTTGGGGGTTGTGGCATTTTGGGGGCTTGAAATATTCAGATTTGGGGTCTTCGGGCCCAGGGTCTCACCTCTACGTCCCAGGCTGACCTGGGTGCCTCCTTCGCCCAACCGGTTCCGGGCAGTGCAGTTGAAGCCCCGGCTAAAGTCGGACTCCTGGGTCCCCGAAATGTGCAGCACAGAGATCAGGCCTGGACCCTGTCCCCCGCGGCCCTCTGGGGCTGGGAATGTCTCCACCAGGAACCGACCCCTCGACCCCGCCGTCAGGAAGCCCTCATCCCAAGACCAGACCTGGGGGCACAGAAGAGGAGGGTCACTGAGGAGACGAAGGAGGGCGGGAAGAGGAGGTCAAGGCGTCGGGAAAGTCACAGATCATCCCAGCAGTTTTGGGGGTCCGGCTAGGAGGTCTGGGATCACCGCTGGAAGGGTCACGAGAGTGGGAACTTTCCTTACCACGGCTTCTGGGGCGGGGGAGGCGAAGACTAGACACTGGAGGCGGGCGGGGCCCCTCAGGAAGGCGGGCGCAGAGTGCAGGGCGGTCACCACTGGGGGAGCTGGTTTGGAGATTGTGGACCAATCAGAGGAGAGGCCCCGCCCACCCAAGTCCCGTTCTCAAGCAGGCGAGGCCAGGCCTGGGCACTCCCCACTAACCCCGACCAACTAGGCCAAGCCTCTTAACAAACTTCGAACCCCTCTGAGGCTTGCCTTCCCTAGGTCCCGCTTCAATCCAAGGGCCCCAGCCGTCAGTTAAGCTCCCCTTCTCGAGGCCACGCCCACTCCCATTAGCCCTCGCCCCCTCTGCCCACTTCTTATCCCAGGACATGCCAGGTCCACTAGGAAGCACCGCTTTCTCACCGTTCACAGTCAACCTAGCTTCCGCAGCGCCACCCCGCAGGCCCGAGAGCCCCGGCCCGGCTCTGCACACGTAGTCGCCTGCATCCTCCGGCCCCACCGCGAGAAGACGCAGCGTGGGCCCGGAGGCCAGCACCTGGGATAGGGAAGGGGCGTCAGGGACATGACCATGGGAGAAAGCCCCATCTACTGCTAGCCATGGCCACAAGCCCCAGGTCTGGCCTCACCTGCGCGTCCCCGCGGCGGGTCCAGGTTACCCGTGGAAGAGGATTCCCGCGCCAGACACAGCTGAAGGAGGCGTCTTCCCCTACGTCCACGGATAAGGGTTTCGGCTTTGCCTGCAGAATCGGCCCGACTGGAGGAGACAGAGGAGGGGTCACATGACCAGGGAGGGATGCAACTTCTGACTTGGGATTAGCCACTCCGAAACGACACTCCCAAGGGCCATTGGGTTTAAGCCCCCGGTTCACAAATCAGCTCGTACGTCCGGCTCACAAGCCCCAGCCCCGCTCGCGCCCCGCCCCTACTCCACTTTGGTACTGATCCAGCACAGCCAAATCCCGCCTAAATCCTACTTCGGGCCCCACCACCTCCCGCAGTCCGTCAGAGCCGCGCCTCACCGTAGCCCCAGTCCCATTTCTCTCACCCCACTTTGGCCACACCCATGGCCCCGCCCCTGCTCACATCGCACATCCAGCGCTGTGCTGCGGTTGGCGCTACCCACTGCGTTGCTGACCTCGCAGGACACCGGTGCAGTCAGGAACGAAGCGTCCGCCACTACCTCCAACATTGGCCCGCGGGCCCCAAGCACAGGGGAGCCCCCCTTTGCCCACCTGCGAAGGTGGTGGGCTGTGTTGTCCTTGCTCCCGAAGCACACCTACTCACGTCCTAGCCCCAGCCCTCCCCAAGACTGTTCTCCCGGCTGGGGAGAAATGATCTGTGTCCTCACCTATAGCCAGTGACAGGAGGCTGGGCTGTGGCCTGGCATAGGAAAGTGACCTTCTCTCCCTCCTGCACTGTCTGTTGTTCTGCAGACAGAGTCACCACTGGGGGGTCTGTAGAAGTGAGTCAATGGTCAGTGGTGGGCAAGGACATGCAACACCTCCATTGATGACCTAGTGGTCCAATTCTCAGGTCCTCCACCCCAGGAATCTGAGTCCCCAGTCCCCTCTTCCCTTTCAGCTAGGAGTCTAGGCTTCCAGTACCCAATTCCTCCAGGGACCTGAGGTCCACAGCCCTCTCCTTTCTCATACCCTGAAGTCCAGGCCCCAGCTGCCTCTTTCCCCAAGGACCTCAGGCTCAAGGCCCAGTGTCCAACTGCACTCACACTGCAGGCTCAGTGTGATAGCTGTGTCCTTCCCCGCAGGCAGGGCCTGGCTCCGAGCCCGGCAAACCAAGATGGCTCCATCATCGTGGCTGGAAGGGGTCAAAGATAAGATGCTCTCCACTGACCCAGTGGTTCCTTCCTTCAACAGGGTCTGTAGAGTATGAATAATAATGATGATTTCATCTACCCTTAGGTAGTACTTACTTTAGGTCAGGCGCTCTTCTAGGCATTTATAAATATTTATTTAATCCTCACAGCTATCCTAGAGGTGCATACTACTATTAACTCCGTTGTACAGATAAGTAAACTGAGGAATGGAAAGGTGAAGATCAACTAACGAGTGGCTGAGCCAGGATCTGAACCTAGGTAGTCTAGCCCTAGAGCCCTTATACTTAAGTACGTACCAAGGATCCCAAGCCTTGAATCCCTGCCCTCCCATGCCTCCTCTGGAAGAGCCTGTGGTCTGAGTGGACCCCCAAATTTCCCTGAATGAGCAAGGGAAGCACAGAGACTAGGACCTGACCTGGCGGAAGGTGGCCCCATCTAGCCGGACCCCATCTCGGAACCACAGCAGCTCAGGGGTGGGGCGGGCATCCCCGCGGCTCCGACAGGTCACATTCGCAGGAACCCCAGCAACCAGAGACACAAAGGGGCCACCCAGCACCTGGGGGGGTTCCGGAGGCACTGTAGGGTGGATCTGAGGTCAGAGCTGGATCCTGGGCCCAGAGACCCTGATCTTCCCAGCTCCGACCGACCACTCCTCCGTTCTCCCCGGACTCTCATATTCCCAGCTAGCACTGGCCGTCCCCCTGGGCTCCCCAGGGACAAGTGGGCTGGGTCCTCACCCAGCACATGCAGTTGGGCTCGTCGAGAGCGGAGGCCTGCTTGTGTAGCTTGACATTCGTAGGATGCTTGATCCTCTATCTCTACGGGCCTAATGTGGAGGTCGTGCTGGCCACTGGCTGCATTCCCTGATATCCAGTACCGGGACCACCCTGGAGTCAGGGAAAAGGCAGTCACACCATGGTTCTGAGTTCTTGGCCCCAGGCCTCCATCCCCAGACATCCCACACCAGAAAGACACTACCAAAAGTGGGTGCTGGGCCAGAGAGACACTAATCCTCTCCCAATCCAGAGTCGCTGCAAACTTGCGGGGGGTGGGGGTGGGGTGTGTGTGTGTGTGACAAATTCAGAAAAAAAAAAAGCAAGAAAACAATTGTCATAAAAGTCAGATGAGATACTACCTCCTGGGTGGGGAGGGAGTGGGCTATGACAGGGGAAGGGAACAAGGAGGGCTTCTGGGGAGCTGGCAATGGACCTGGGTAGTCGTTACATGGCTGTCTATTTTAGAATTATTTGGCAAATCTTCCATTTATGTTTTATGAGCCTTTCTGCACTTATGCAATATTTTACAATAAAAATTAAAATTCCCAAACCCTATGGGTCACCTCCAAAGAAGGAGCTGAAAATTCTGAACTCCCAAATGTTTCCTTGAGCCCATTCATCTCCCAAACTTGAAAACGTCAAAATAGAAACTTCAGTCATAGCCCAAGCCCAACACCCTCACCCTGGAGTCAGCTCCTCCCTGAATAGATAGAACAGCCTCACCTGGCAGGTCTCTTTCGCCCCCTAGAGCCAGCCCATCCTTAGTCCACTGAACCAGCCCCCAGTATGCGCCCAGGGCACAGGGCAGACGGGCCTCGTCCCCCAGCAGTACTACCAGGTCTTCTGGCTGTTGCAGGAAGTGGGGTGACAGACCTAGGAGAATGGGGCAGAGGAGCAGAGCTTAGCACATTCAAGAGTTCCCTCACTCAGGAGGGAGTTCAGTCCCCAATCCCCTCTGCCCTCAGATCCAGAAGCCCAGGGTCCCTCAGATCTAGGAGTCTGAACCCTCAGCTGCACTTACCACAGTAAAGCGACAACTGGCAAACAACCCTCTCTTGTATTTATCTGCCCCTGCCCCTCGCGGTACCTGCACGCCCTCTGAGGCAGAAGAGAAGGACAAGGAGTGCGGGGACCAGCATCCTGAGTGTGTGTCCCCCAAGATCCAGCAGACTTGCTGTTGCACTGGCTTCCCTGTCAGCTCCTTCCTCGGCAGCACACCTCCCACCACTCTAGCCTGGAGTCCCCTTCGCTCCCAACTCTTCTCTCCAGGCTAGCAGCACCCCCTGTCTCTGGCCCGGAGCTCTCCTAGCCTGCTCCGCCGCAGGCTCCGCGGCTCTGAAACGCAGGCCAGTTCCGCGCGCTCGGTCTCGGAGAGACCCTGGAGGGCCTGATCCCCCTCGCCCCGCCCCGGCCCGCCTTCTGGGAGACCCGCCCTCTTCCCGCTGAGAAACTCCCGCGGCCCAGAAGCGGATGAATGGGGGCATGCAGGGCCGGGTTCCCCCAGCGGGAGGACACCCCAGCGCCCTTTCAGTCTGGGAGCTGGAACACCTGGGTTGAAGGAGGGGGTACCGGCTGGGTTGGACACCTGCACCCTGCCGGGGTTGGGGGATGGCTGGGGGTGAGGAGGAGGGAGGGGAGGGAGTGGAAGAAACTTGCTCAGCCCGGTCCTGGAGGGACCGCGCTGAGTGGAAACGGAGCTATAAATGGGAACCCCTGGGGACTCGCTAGTTTCCGCGCCCCGGAGAAGCGGGGCCCGGGGCTCCTCTGGCCTGGTGGGTCAGGAAGAGGGCACCGTGTTTGCCTGGGGGGCAGCTGGGACCCTCCGAGAAGGAGAGGTTCAGCTCTCCCCACCTCAAAACCCCTTCTCAAAATATCCCTCTGCCTGCCTTGCTACCGCTGCAAACCATAGCACGTCCTAAGATCCAGGAATCCAGGCCCCCAGCCCCTCCTTTCCCAGAACCCTGCGGTCCGGGACCACCCCCTCGCCCCACTCGGCCGTGGTTGCCGGGCGACGGCTGGGAGGCGGCGGTGTCCGGGCTGACTCAGGCGGGGAGGCTGGGAACCACGCAGCTTGTCCTGACGGCTACATGCCGCCCAGCTGGGGCGTTCCCACGCTGCCGGCCCGCGGTGCGCTGCGCAGCTGGCCGAGCAGGTGGGAGGGACCCTGAGCCGACAGAGCGGGGACTGGGGGTCTGACATTCTTGAGCCTGTAGGGACTGGGGCTCCACACTCCGTTGTTCCTGAGCTCAGATTCTTGTGTCCCTGAATAGCAGGGGCATGGATCCCCAGGATTCTAAGACTAGGGGTTCAGACCTCTGAGGACTGAGAAGCTAATGTCCTGAACGCCAAGTTTCTGAGGAGTTGGGGACTCAACTAGGTCCCCTGCCTGCAGCAGAGTGTAGTTGGGAAAGGATGACCTGGGGTCAGAAAATCTGGCCTTAAATCTTAGAGTCAGTGGATTTAACCACCAATCTCTCTCCCACCCCCACTCAGGACCAGAAGGATTTGAAAATCAACAGACAGTGAACATCTGCCCTAAGTCCTGTGTGTGCATGGGGGGTGGGGGTGGGAAGGATTGGAGGCCTGAACTCCCAGGTCCTTGGGAAGAAGGGGCCTCGACTCCTGAGTCTGAGAGGGTAGATCCTGGGGGCCCAGACTTCTAGAACTCTTGGCTTTTGTTTTGGGGATCCAGCCCCTGGATTTTGAAACAGGATGGGCTTGGGTCCAGGACTCCTGAGTCTTGGGGTGGAAGTCAGGTAGTAAGGCTGTTTTTCCAGACACCTGACATCACTTCCCCTTCCTGGCTCTCTGGGGCCACAAGCATGGAAAGATGGAGAGCCTGAGGTCCCAGGAATATCCAGAGAAGGAAAACATCCAAGGTGGAGGGTGGAAGGTTTGTGCTAATTAAAGGTCCCAGCAATGGACAGCTCTATGCCCTGGCCCCGAGGGACACCATCTGGTGACGGCGCTGCATCCAGCCCATTCCCCAGGAGGCGTGGGGGCGTCGGGAGAGGGAATGTGGGAGGAGGGCAAGGAGTCAGGAATGGGAGGCACGAAGAGAGATTAGAGGGAGCATCAAGGATGGAGATGTGGGGACTTAGGCCAGATGCCTCATCTTGTTTCTGGATGAGGACCAGATGGGGGTCATAGTGGGGGAGAGAGAGAGAAAACGAGCAGTTCCAATTCCTGCAGGAGATAAGCAGGCAGAAGCAGCTTATCCCATGTGGGTGTGTATGCACACACTGGAGTGGGGAGGGCAGGCCAAGCAGCATATGGTTATAAAATCCAAAGATGTGAACCATCAGGAGGACTCAGAGATGAAGAAACAAATGAGAGAAAGACACACAGTCAAAGGCTGACTGAGAACAAATATTTATTGAGCTCCTGGTGTGCGTGAGAGACAGAGTATGGGGTGGGGGAGAGATAGAGATGAGAACAGAGACAGAAAGCGAAAAACAGAGAAACATACAGGCACAGACAGTGACAGAGTTAAAGACTGGCTGACGTGTAACCACCTAATGGAGAGAGAGAGGGGGAGAAAGACACTGAGTCAGAGAGGGAGAGTCTCAAAGCGATGGAGAAAGATAGGAAAATAAATCGACGTGGCTTGAGGGAGGGAGAGAGACAGACACCCAGAAGGCAAGAAGAGACAGAAAGAGATAGAGGGAAGCTACGTGAACTAGAACTCACAAGGCCCTTGCCAAAGTGTTCCCACACTGGGCTCAGTGCTTGTGGCCTCGGACCCTACCTGTCACTCCTACCCACTCAGATTGCCAGGCATACCTAACACCTTAGACATTTACACACTCACACACTGCACAAACTTCCACAGATCACAGCTCACTCTCACCTTCCCCAGGCTCACACGCATGCTCACACACTCACAAGCACTTCACACATATGTGTGCACACAGATATCGGCACTCTCCCAGTCCCTCTCACACACTGTTGCACACTCCTCAGCAGAGACCCCTGACGTCACTGAGAGGGGGATGTCTACTCAAAGAAGGAAGGGATTTGAAGGTCAGGTACCAGGGTAGGAAGAGCCGAAGAGTCTTACCCCCACGCTGGGTCCAGCTCTCAGCTCCCCATACTGAGCTGGGACCTCCTGGGTCTGAACTGCTCCTCCTTTACCCCTGGCCCAAGCCAGGCCCTTGGGGTCATGGGGGCTGGGGAGGCACCGAGGAATGTGCCTGGCATGTGCTGACAGGGGATTTCTTGCTCCAGCTGTGCCGGAAGGAGCTTCTTGGGCAGAGGCCTGAAGCTGGAGACGCAGGAGGGTGCCTGGGGGAGGTAACAGTGTGAGGACGAGATTCGACTGAGAACTGGACCCAGCTCTGCCATTGACCGCATCCTCGCTCTCCTGGGCTCCCAGGGCCTGCGCGACTCAGCAGTGGGTCCTCCCTGAGGGGCTATGAGTGGTGAGAGGAGACCAGGGGTGGGAGTGGCACAGGAGAAGAAAGAGAAATAGACACTGACTTCGGGGAAGGAGATAGAGACTGAGAGAGAGAGAGAGAGAGAAAGAGAGGAAACTTTAGACCAGGAGAGCACGATAGAGAGAATACAGGAAGGAGATCAGAGGGGACTTAGGGCAGGAAGAGGGAGAGAGAAAGACAGTGTGGGGGAGGGGAGACTGACTCCTGGGAGGAGAGAAAAACAGAGAAGCAGAAGAAGAAAAAGAGAAACAAAGAGAAAAGTAAGAGACGGAGACATGGAAAACCCAGAGAAAGACAGAGGCAGACGCAGGAGGCGGGCAGTGGTCCCTGTGGGAGCCACAGGCAGAGGACCTGGGCTGGCTCTGAGGCTCCCCATCTGGACACCGCTGCTCCTCTTGGGGCTGCTGATGACAGGTGAGTGGGATCCTGGCCGGTGACCAGAGCCAGGTGGCCCTTATTTTCCACCCACATTCTCCAGGCAGACCCTCCGCCCTCTCCTACTGATACCTCTGTGTCCCCAGGTCTGGCCCAGGTGCCAGTCCCTGCCTCAGCCCCGCGAGGCTTCTGGGCTCTGCCTGAAAACTTGACGGTGGTGGAGGGGGCTGCCGCTGAGCTGTGGTGTGGGGTCAGCGCCCCTGGCAGCACAGTCCAATGGGCCAAAGATGGGCTGCTCCTAGGCCCTGATCCTAGGATCCCCAGTTTCCCGCGGTATCGCCTGCAAGGGGACCCTACGAAAGGTAAGAGACAAGAGCCTGAGATTCTGAGCCACCAGCAGAGGCTAACCGCGGCCCTGATCTGGGGTCCTCCCTGCAGGTGAATTCCACCTGCACATTGAAGCATGTGACCTCAGCGACGACGCAGGGTATGAGTGCCAGGTCAGCCGCTCAGAAACAGGTCCTGAGCTCGTGTCGCCCAGAGTGATCCTCTCCATCCTGGGTACGGGTGAGAGACCTCCAGGACCCATGAGTCTGGACTTCCACCCTTGCCAGCTCCAGGGTCCAGGAGTCCAAGACCCCAGTTCCCCACCACCCCCTTCCTTAGACCCAGGGTGCAGAACTCATTTCCTGAGCAATGAGACACGAAGCCCAAATCCTCATATCCTCTGGCTTATCCCAGACCCTTTCTCACCAGTGCCCCCCAAAGTGCTTCAGCTGACCCCCGAGGCAGGGAGCACGGTCACGTGGGTAGCTGGGCAGGAGTACTTGGTCAGCTGTGTGTCTGGGGATGCAAAGCCAGCACCTGACATCACCTTCCTCCTGAGTGAGTGTGGGTGAACTGATGGGGGCAGCGGGAAGCCCCTGGAGTGGGGAGGGGATGTGTCCCTGCCCAGGGTTCTCCTGAGATGGGATGCAGGAACAGGCCTGGGGAGATGCTGAGGCCACTGTGGGACCCAGTGGATGGGAGGGGACATCCAGGAAAGGTACCAAGGAGTTCACAGGACTGCTAGGCCGGGACTCAGGGGAGAGGCCGAGGCTCCAGATAGAGATACGGGTGTCCTTCTGGTGCAGTAACGAGAAGCTGAGGTGATGGGGGTGGGTAATACAACCCAGCAAGGAGGGGAGGGGAGAGGGCCTTCCCTGGCGGTCCAGTGGTTAGGACTCCGCACTTCCACTGCAGGGGGCACGGCTTTGATCTCTGGTTAGGGAACTAAGGTCCCTGCAAGCCAGGTGGCGTAGCCAAAAAAAAAAAAAGGAGAGGAGGGGAGAGGCCCAGGCCAGGACTCAGCCCTGAGTGAGGACTCCAGGATTCAGGGAGGCTAGAATGTGTGGAGGGAATGGATATAGTGTTTTTCCTCCGGAACCAGGAGGGAGGGGTTGTATGTCCACCCTGAGGAATTCCAGGCCATGCTCCCCAGGATCTACCTTGGGGGAAACCTGGTACCCCTTCAGCCTTCTTGTTACCCTAAGGTGGACAAACAATTTCTGACATCTCTGCTAATGTGAATGAGGGATCCCAGGAGAAACTCTTCACCACAGAGGCCACAGCCAGGTATGGAAATTGGGGTGCCCTCCCTGCAGATGGATCCCCAAATTTCTCCATGAAAACCCCATATCCTAGGGATTCAAGCGTGGAAACTTGGGTCAGGTAGGAACATCCGGGACCCAATTCTTCACCCTGACACTCTAAAACTTCTTCATGGAATCCCAGTTCCAGAGGATCAAGTACAAAGGTTTTGGCCAGGTGTGGGCCTCTGCGACCCCAGTTCTCGCTGTTGACCCTGAAATCTCTTTCATGGAACTCTATCTAAATCCTAAAGGAAATCATCATAGAGATTTAGGCCAGGTGTGGGGAGCTGGCATGCCCACCTCTTCACCTTGACTGCCCAAATTTCAGATGATGACTCTGACTTTAGAACCCCAACTTCCCACCCCAGGGTGACACCCCAGAGCTCAGATAACGGGCAGTTACTGGTCTGTGAGGGGTCCAGCCCAGCTTTGGACACCCCTATCAAGGCTTCGATCACCATGAATGTTCTGTGTAAGTGGGGAACTGAGTCAACTGTTGGCACTAAGAATGGGGAGCTGGAATTGGGGGGCCCGGGGAGCACAGGGATTATGGAAGGCTCAGACTCTCAAGGGGGAAACATAGGGGTTCAGAGGCAGGTTGTGGGGCCTGGAAGGAATGCATGGGGTCCCCAGACCCGTGACTGCTGTTCCCCAGTCCCCCCAGGACCCCCTGTCATTGAGTGGCCAGGCCTGGACGAGGGGCACGCGAGGGCAGGGCAGAACTTGGAGCTGCTGTGCATGGCCCGAGGGGGAAATCCGCTAGCCACACTGCAGTGGCTGAAGGTGAGGGCAGAGGCAGGTCTGGAGATGGGGGAAGGGGCGAGGGCCAGGAGCCGGCCCTGAGCTGGCCAGGCCTGTCCCTGTCTCCAGAACGGCCAGCCAGTGTCCACAGCCTGGGGCACAGAGCACACTCAGGCAGTGGCCCGCAGTATGTTAGTGATGATCGTGCGGCCGGAAGACCATGGGGCAAGGCTCAGCTGCGAGGCCTACAACAGCGTATCTACAGGGATCCAGGAACGCGGGGTCACGCTGCAGGTCACCTGTGAGTCCTGGTGCCAGCTGCCCATCTGTCAGTCTGTGCCCCAGAGAACCATCTGTCTGTGCCCCCAGATCATGCCTGTCTGATGCCAAAAACCTCATCGTCTGTCCCCAGTCTCCTCTCTGTCTGGGCTCATCTGTGAGCCGTGCAGCCCAGCTCAGTGTCTCTCTGTCCGTCATCCCTGCAGTTCCCCCCAGTGCCATTACCATCCTGGGATCTGCATCCCAGTCTGAGAACAAGAACGTGACACTCTCCTGCATCACCAAGTCCAGTCGCCCAAGGGTCCTACTGCGATGGTGGCTGGGCTGGCGGCAGCTGCTGTCCACAGAGGAGACGGTCATGGATGTGAGGCGGGGGCCGGGCTCCTGGGTCTGAGGGAGGAGGGAGCAGAGGACACAACTCCTGGATCTGGGAGAGGAGGGGTCTGGCAGCTTGGATGCTTTGGTGCCTGGGGAGCAAGCATGGACTGGGGCCCAGGGCCTCCTGGGTCTAACAGAGGAGAGGGTGGAGATGATTCATGTGTCCCTGCTGGGGTCTGGGGTGGACCCAAGTCACTGGTACCATGGATGGGGGTGCCCTACTCCCCCAGTCTGAAGCTTGCTCCCTGCCAGGGCCTGCATGGTGGCCACATCTCCATGTCTAACCTGACATTCCTGGCGCGACGGGAGGACAATGGTCTGACCCTCACATGTGAGGCCTTTAGTGAGGCCTTCACCAAGGAGACCTTCAAGAAGTCACTCGCCCTGAATGTGAAATGTGAGGCTCCACCGTCACCCGGGGGTGCCCCATGCCTTAGCGACCCCCACCCTCAGGCCCCAGCCGGGAGAGAAAATCCACTCTTCCTGGCTCTCCCCACAGATCCTGCCCAGAAGCTATGGATTGAGGGCCCCCCAGAGGGGCAGCGTCTCCGGGCTGGGACCCGGGTGAGGCTGGTATGTTTGGCCATTGGAGGCAATCCAGACCCTTCCCTCACCTGGTACAAGGTTGGTGCCAAGCAAGGGTTGTGGGGTGGCCGGGAATGTGGGGGAAAGATGAAGCCCCTTCTCTCCTCCTCTTGGGAAATCTTGGGAAACCTGAATTTCTTGAAAAATACTGGAGATTTTGAGTTTCGGCAGGGAATTGGAAAAGACAAACGCCATGAGAATTAAATGCGACCTTAGAAAAAGTGAGGAAATTCTGGGAAAACAGTGAGAATTCTAGAATAAAAGAAAGAATTCTGGATCCAGATTGGGAATTCTAGAGAAAAGGCAATTAATTTCATTAAAATTAAAGGAAATTCTGGTGAAATCTTGGAATTCAGGTGAAATGGCAGGAATTTTAGGGAACGACTAAGAATTCCAGAAACAAAGACAATGGTGGGCAAAGCCTAGACATTTGGGGAGAAAGACTA